CCCCCCCCCCCCCCCCCCCGCCACTGGCAGCTGCCTCCTGCTGTCGCTCGCAGACACCCGCTGCCGACCCCTTTTAGCTGCAACAACCGCCCACCAGTCCACAGGTAATACTTAGTGCTGGGTACAGCAAGGAAGACGTCATATACATCATAAGAGATAGCTTAATACTGGAGTGCACGTGGACCCAACAATTTTATAAAAAATATATTTTTTCTTTAAATAACAATTAAAATACATAACCAAACATGTTTTATATTTTTTGTTTATAAGAACAAATAAATCATAACGGTATCAAATGTGTTTTTTAAGAATAGAAAACAAAAAACAAAAAACAAAATATACTAAAAACAAAAACAAAAATATAAAACAAAAAGTAATCCCAAACAAGCCCTTAATTAACCTAAAACCAAGGTTTAGAAAACTAGACAAGATATTGAACCGGTAGAGGAGGAGCTTCAAGGTTCAGCGGTTGAACCAGAGTTGAACCGGGATTTGAACTGAGTAACGTCATAAATATAAAAAAAATATTAAATATAGTTTAAATGAAATAAAAATTAGATGAAATTCAGTATGGAAGGTTAATAAGAAAAAAACATAACAAAAAAATATTGAATCATAAGAAAGAAAAGATAATAGACTAATAGTCATGCATACTTCACAAAAATATAAAAGAAATGAAGGTGGGAATAAATAGAGCAAAATACATAATTCATGATATCAAAAGATTCAAACAATTCTTCATGATTTCCAATTAAAATGTGGCATCACATAAAAAATTACACTTTAACCAGTTGACTGGTCGACTGCCAGTTCCAGCCGGTAGATAGATTCGACCGCCGGTTTCAGCCGATTCTTTCTAGTTTGATGCGGGATCGGTTTTGAACTCAACCAGAATCGGAGCACCAGCCAGTTTACGGTCAAATCATTTGGACCTACCAGTTTGGTTCAGCTTTAAAATGCTGCTTTAAACCCTAACCTTAAGAGTTTGGTTCGGCCTCCTACACAAATCACGCACACAAAGACTTCTCTCATAAATAGACCCACTAATCCACCCCTGCCTTTTTTCCTTCGACCGACTAGGGCACAACCTCCCCTTTGAAGTCACTCAAACTTGTACAGGAATGCACACAAGCCTCAGTTCTCCCCTTCCTGCATTATGTCTTCTTCTTGTGGCTACAATGCACAGAGAAATGCAACAACACCCTGCCTTCCTTCTTCCATTGCCTATGAAATCATCCCTCCTTCCGTAAGCACCAGAACGTGGTGGCAATGCTTCTTCTTATATGCTTCTACGGCTAGGGTTTGATCCAGCTCTTCCTCTTCTTCTTCTTCCACTTTCCTTGCTCTGTCTCTCACTCTTGATTTCTCTGATCTTCTAGTTCGAATGAGATGTCTGTCTCCTATTGTTAGAACTGCCAAGATGGTTACTCGAAATGAACCTACTCATTTAAATTGCTCTTTTTATAAACAATTATTATTATTATTTCAGTTATTACAAAAATGCTACAAATACCTAGCACAAGGTTGATAGCATGTTAAAATGAAATGGAGAAAGTCTGTGTGAGAAAGTGAGATAGATAGAGAGAGAAAGAGGTGTCGGTTGTTGGTCTTTAAGAGCAGAAAGAGACGAACAAGCTTAAGTGACGTGGGGCTTGCTGGACTAAAAAGGGGTTCTGGGTCAGCAAGAGTCACAGTCCAGCAAGAGGTTGAACCTTCATTGGGCGAGACCGACCACCCAATTCCCCCTTCCTTTTTCCTTCTCACCTATCTACTTAATATAAATGTGTCGCTGAGTTTAGGGTTCATTTTTGGATTTTTTATTTCAAATTTTTGCCTCTAGGCGTTTCCCTGTTAGGGTTGTATCCAAAGCTATATGGTGCTCCAGCTGTATCTTGTTCCGAGGTGGTGACAAACTTTGGGTTTGTTTGAGGCAGCTTGTGTGTTTTAGGATAAGCTGCTTATCCTGAAACGTGACAGTTTCAGATAAGCTGACAAAACGCGCGAACCAAACGGTACGGCGACATTTTCAAAACGCCGCCCGCACTTATAAGCTGCCCCAAACGAACCCTTTATCTCCCTTCCCCACACACAATTGCGCCAAACACTTTTCTTCCAGTCGGCACTTGCCTTTAAGTCTCCTCTTGCCAGTTCCCCTCCCTACCTCTCCAGCGCCGGTCACCGGCCTGTTGTCCTCCTTTCCCATTCAAGAATCCTGTCGTCATACCTACTCCTACCTCCTTCCACCTTATTTCCAGCAGTCAGCCCCACCTGCTCTCCCCCACTCCCCTGATCCCAGCCGCCAACGTCCCTGCTGCTTTAGGGTTTTCTGTTGCTTCTCTCTATAAATTTCTCAAGTTTTCGTCGCCGTAAGAATTGGTGTTAGATCTACGCTTTCCGCATCCAAGTCATGCTTGCAGTCGAAGCCCTAGAAAACCTAGTGCAGATTCAAGTCCACTTCATCAATAAGCTTCGAGTGATAAGGAATGCCTTAGTCTCTTTTTTTATCCTTTCTCTATATCCATTGAGAGAGATAGCCTTTCTCACAATGAATCGTCTCATTTCTTTTTTATTATCGACGGATCAAATTGCCTTCTCTGCTATGAATCTGTTTATCCATGCATTTCTAGTTTAAAAGTTTAAAAGTTCCACCACAAATATTCTTATGGTTAAAGATACTGATTTCATTGTGTTGTGAGAGAAACGCCAAATTGATTTGTTTCCATTTTGAGTAAAAGAATGAATTGTTGTTGCATGTTGTGATTTGTTGTTGTTCCATGTTATGTAAAAGAAATTGGTGCTAAAACTATGAATTCCGCATCCAAGTCATTGTGTTGCAAGAGAAACATCAAATTGTTTTGTTTCCGTTTTGAGTAAACGAATAAATGGTTAATGTCATGTTAAAACATAATAGAAAATGTTTTCTCCACCATCAGTTCTTACCTTTCTATGAGAGCATCAACCTCAGCTTTGCACTTTGGCCCATGGATCAATACTCTAGTAAGACTTAGTATATCACTATAGTCTCCATACTTTAGTCCTTCTTCACAAACAGGTCCGTAAGCAGGATTATTTATGGGTAATGCTGAAGAAACAAATGTTTCAGCATTCTCAGATGCTCCTGATGAAACCTTTGCATCTGCATCTAATCCAAGACATTTGATAACCATTGCATATGCAACCCCTCCATGTCCTGTAAGCGAAACAAAAAGATGATACCTGGCACAACTGAAGACAACAATACTAGTAAGGTACCACATATGATCCAATTCTATAAAGGACTAGTGAATCAAAAACATACTCATTTTTACAGTATTTTATCGCATCAACATCTGCAGCAGATGGTTCTCTTTCTCTAGTTAAAGGTATCCTCCTATATTCTATGTTGTATCCTTCATCCCTCAAAGCAGCATATACTTCAGCTGGTGTCTTGACATCATTTAACAAGACATGCTCCCAAAATCCAATAACAATGCAACGGTTAGTAACTGGATTAAATTCCTCTTGATGCAGAAGTATTTGGCCCTTTGACTGGGAAACTTCAGAATTTATATCCTCTTTCATCCTCAACTCTATGCTTTCTACCTGCATAAAGGTTGTGATTGACATTAGAATAACAATATATCAAGGTTTCTGGAAGCCTGCTTAGCTCGAAACTCACCAAAGGCCCACTAATTCCAACATATCTCAGCGTATCAACTGGCTGATCTAATTCTCTAAGAACATAAGGTAAGCCATTGATGTAGATAACGGCTTCCTCTCTCAAATCCATTATTAGAACTTTTGGCGGAGTACCTCCATTTCCAGTCCACCTGGCACCCAAATAGTCTAGCATTTCCCTAGCGCCATCAACAGTTGGAGTTGCCATACTATAAACAGAGTATCCATCCACCTGACAAAAGAATGGTTTAAAAAAAAAATTGGACTTGCAAGCATACTTAGGTGTTCAACAAGATGGTTGCACGCCAAGTAATTTATTATAAACGGAAATTACAATTACTAGAAACTGCCCATAAAATATGTTTTATTACAAATAAAAATATAAACAAAATAAAATGATAATGAAAAATAAAAAACAAAAAAAAAAAAAACAAAACTGAAACAATGGCCACAAAATAATTAGAGAAAAAATATGGAGAACCAATTAAGCAGCATGAAAATAACATAATTATCATAAAGCATATGTACGAACTAGATACAATATTTTTAGGAAAAATCATCAAAGTGGTACTAAACTATGGAAAAGATAAAAAGTAACTATTTTAAGGACCATAAAGTGACAGTAACTGATTATCATGAGAACCACCAGTTTTACAACTCAGAAAAACGTTATCATATTACAACTTCCCATCAAATGAAATTTGTCTCTCATAAATGGCACTTGATTAAGGAGACATGGAAAAAGAGAATTACAGTATTATAAAAATGACAACAATGCTTCTCAAGAAAATGTAAAAGACAAAAGTATTTGAATGGCTAAAAGCATTGATGAAAGAAGAAGAACTAAATCTTTATGTTTCACTTAAACAAATTGCATGCTTCGATAAAATACCTTAGTCAACATATAAAAAAATGATAATAAACAAATTGCTCTAGTTCGATGGCAAACTTATCCCTAGAACAGCTTTAAGAAGGTCAAAAGCAATAAACTGAAAAAAAAAAAAAAGCAACTGATTACATATGCAAGGCTAGAAACTAGAACTTCCATTCAAAATGCAGAAACCATGCAGCTTGATCATCTGAGTTGACCCTCCAAATTTAAAGTTATTACTATGTACTTTCAAAATCCCCTCATTTTGCATCCATGCTACTTCACAGAACACTGAATAAAAGCTATTTGTGTCCTGCATTATACTAATATTTAATTTGACACCTACTATGTAACAGTGAATACATGGAGATTCCTCGCAATCATTCTTTTGAATATAAATAATTAAACAACATTTAACTTTGGGGTAAACACATAAAATCAATACAGTTTATAGTTTACAGACATTAGTAAAGCTAACCTTGTACACATTTGGTGCACCTTGAAATTCAATTCTGCTTGAAACTTTTGGCCCATGAAAAATGTATTTCTTTAGTATAGAACCCTTTCCTAAAACTGAACCACTGCGAGACTTAACTATAGCATCCATCACGACATCACCATGCTGAGATTCTTGTAGGGTTCTAGCCTCCTCCTGGTAAGGGATAATTGTTTAGAAAAAGGAAAACTTGACTGCTTTTATAAGCTAAAAAACAACAGATGCTATAATAAAACAGTCCTGTTTCATTACCGGAATTGTGAAGAATCTCCCTGGACGTAGCCTAATGCTCCATTTCATAGTCTGAATCTCTGGTCTCCTATGCAACCAAGCTTTGAAGGTGATTTTAGTTTCTCCTTCTCCACAGAAACCATCAAATGCTTCGCTTCCAAGGTATGCTGCAAAAGCAATTAACCTAAAGTAGCACTCAAGATACTCAGCACCACGATGTAAGGCCATCTTCCTTACTCTAGGTTCTGCATGCTGTTGATTGAATACTTTTCTGTATTGCAGAACAGCCTTGCGTATGTTCTGCAGAGCCGAGCATCTGTCGATCACAGCATCCAAAACCTTTCTGCACTCTGCTCCATTATCAAACAATCTAGTAATTTTCCTCAATATGATAATGTCGTTTATTCCAAAAGCACGATGAAGTTCCTTCCCACTTCGGGATTTTGCTAGATTTGACACTAATGAAATGTTATCACTGAAAGTAACATCACGGATTGAATCACCATCTGACTCTCTATTGGAAACATCTTCCAATTGAATTTTAATAGGTCTCCCATAAGAAATTCGTAATTTAAGAAGGCAAGCTATCACAGTACCCGTCGTTGTTCTGCCCCTACCCATCTGCCAAAAAAATAAAATACTAGATTAAATAACCTTGCAATTTGAATGTTAAAACTAAATTTAAGGACTTCTACCTGGCAATTGAAAACAAAAGCAGTATTTTTGGACGAAGATGCAGCATTTGCTGCAATGGCATCAAAATCTGAACTCTGAGGAGCTTTTCCATCAGTTATAGGTACACGTGCATACTTGATGGGAAGACCCTCCATTTCCAATCGTTTGTAGACCTCTAATGGAGTCTGAACAAATTGAGCATTGATATGTTCCCACGCATCAAAAATTTGCCCATCATCAGTTTCATGAATTACCATTATAGCACCACCATAGCGGTCTGCTTCCCTCAAAATGTCCTCCTTTAGACGGGCTTCCATTCTTTCCACTCTATCACAATCTATTCCCTAGGTTACCATTAGATAAAATAGTTAGTTCCATCTTTTTAATGAAAATTAATCAACTGATTATTTAGTTATTTGTGCTTAAATATGCAGCCAATAGATTAATAAATAGTTAATGATATGCCACTAAAGATAGACAAAAAAAAGTAAATACATTTCAAAAAATCTTGGACAAATAAGAAATTAAAACATGCAAAATTTCCAAGATATGCAGCAACATAAGAAGAAAAAAGGCATTACCGTGTATTCTAACATGTTTTTGTACGGCCTTTCCATTTCACGTAGCACAAAAGGCTTTCCATTTATATAGATAACTGGCTCTTCCCTCATGTTATGCCACAAAACAGGACGATAGCCTCTAGTTCCACTAATCCTTTGAACAACAGCTCGAATGCCATCCACAGTGGGATTGGCAACACCATAAACTGGAAACCCAGGGACCGCTCGAAAATTAGGGGCACCCTCCACTCTGTCTGGCAAATTAAGATTTTGACAACCTGGACAATGATCACTTTTTAGAACGGTTTGGCTTCCAAGAACTTCTCCGCTCCTTGCAGCTGCCACCACACCTATCTCAAAAGGACGACCATCCGAAGATTCACCAATTTTCATAATAGATTGTTTTGGTCTAGAAAATCCAAGCGCACCCATTGGATTTCTCCTCAACAACCTGTAAAAATACAAAATAAATGAAATGTGCAGTTTTATGATTAGAAAAAAAAATCACAACCAAAAATAAACTTCATGCATCTTGGCAAAAAAGTGGCGATGCATAAAAAAAATCCAATACATAATCACAAGATAACTTTTCGGCATTGTTACCAAATCCAATTCAGGATTTGGTTCATTCTTCATAACATGGTTTAAAATCATGCAATCTGAAATGTGACGTAAATTGAGGTGCACAAAAATAGCTTTTAGGTATAGGCCTTACGTGGGCTAAGTGAGGTGCATTCCAAGATTAAGTGTGGCGCACCCTCAATGCTTTCTTGATGAAGAACAAGCATCAAATTGATGATGTAAGATTCCTTTAACTTATATCCCAAAATCACAAACTAATTTATCAGCATCAAATTTCAATATAAACATATTTCATTAAGGAAAATAATAATATCATAGTAAACCAAAAAACTTGGCACTAGCAATGCGAGGCTGTCATTGCTACGCCACAGTTGTTGCTTTGTCGTCACTACCCTGATGCCGAAAGCACTTTTCCTTAATTTTTTGTGGGATTCAAAAATTTACGCAACTCTCCTAAGAGAGTTTACTTGTTCTAAGCAAAATTTTTAAAAGACATACTAGATTTTAGTTAAGACACTAAGAAGAAAATTCATCCTCATTTTCACAAGGAATTTAATATTTTGTTCTAGATTTCTCATAAGCACAAACTCAATGGTTAATTCACCTTCCCAATAACAAGAAAGAACTTTCAATAAGGCTAGTCAATAGGCATCAAATTTAAGCGTATGATAGCATCAATTTTAATTTTAGACAGAAAATTGATCATCTTTCGTGTTGAGTGGATGATGAGAGAAATGATAATGAACCTAATCAAGATCTCATTGTTGTGTCATTTCATGCTATCATGGACCCTAATCTAATTAATCATGAGAGGTAGTAAACCCAATCTGACTAAGTGCTTTCTGTCCGCAATCATGAGTTATGTCGTCAAATTGAACCTTGTCGATTTGGAATAAATATTTATCTTACAAAAAAAATTGAGTAGATCTTAGCTAACAAAAAAAAAATTGTGCCCCATCAAATACACTATAGTTCACCGCCTAATGGATTTAGACCATTAGAGAATTTATAGCCGGCGTTACTCGTGGTCATCTTTCAATTATGTCATTTTGAGGCGAATCACTCAATCTGAATGTCTCAATCATAACTATTTTTGTCATGACCCGGTTGGAATTTAGAATTAACTAAGGCAAGAACAACGGTCGAGCATATTAACATCTAGCTATCCACATTTTGAAAACTTCAAATACATATAAAAGAGTCACTAATCCATAAATGCAATAAAATCTAAAGCATCCAGAAACAATAACATCAAAAAATAATATCTCAATGCAGTACTGAACAATAAATCAAAAATAAAAAGAAACAGTAAAGAAAACTATCCTAAAGAAAATACATAGCAGTAGTGGTTCTCCTCAGGTAAAAAAAATCTCTCCTAATAGACATAACAGCCTAAAACTTAATAATTATAATTTAATATGCATTAAATTCTTATATTATGCTATGCATGAACAACCAAAAGAAACATCAATTAATTTCATTAAAATTTTAAATTCAACCCTTCTAATTCTACTTTAATTATTTATTATTTTCATAAAAGAATTACCGTTATACTCAAAGATATCCTAAAAAATGTGCCCGCAGTCACCCTAAAAAATGTAACTAAAGACACCCTCAAATTGCACCTGAAGGCACACCATTATCGTTCCCTTTAACGTACACGAGCGCATTGCATCCTCTGAGAGTACCAACTGGAGATAATTCTGCATGACAAACATTTAATTTGCTTTTCATTTCATTTAAATTACATCCTTTCAAGTTATTAAATAGTTTTTTTTTCCATTTCATTCTTAAGCTACAACATGCATAAAATCATAAAATAATTTTCTAAAGCATTAAAAGAATTCTTTATTTAATAAACTTTAAATTTAATACATATAAGAAAATAATTACTCACCGTAATTTTGAGAGACCTCTAAAATACTTTAACCCTTCACTTCGCTTCTTTGGATAACCACCTATATTAAATGATTGTGGTATCATTTGATAAAAATTCTATTGTTAAACGAAATACTTAATGTATCTAATGACAGACAAATAAAATCACACATAATTAATTATACAATTTATTACCTTAAAAGTTTGATTAGCTTGCTTGCACAGAATTCCCCCTTTTCTTTTATAACTTTAATTGATTCAACATCCAACCTTCTACTTTAATACCTGATTAATTTAACTGTGTCATGAGCATTAATAAGTAAACCAATAATCTCAATTTAAGCAAATTTAAATCATAGAACATTAAACATCCAGAAGATTTTGTTCAGTTCTTATCGTTCGCACATAAAGCCCAATTTACACACCAGTGAACTCCTTTCTCATATACATCAAAAGCATCAATGTACTATATATATACATATTTTTTTTAAAAAGCACAATAGCTAATATATTAAAAAGAAATTATGATATCAATAGATTGTGTGGGAGGGCCCAAACATGGCACCCTACCCACACGATAACCATCATATGCAAATGGTTCCAAAAAGGGAAAATACAAAAAAATACATGAGAGACCGAAAGAAAAGAAAAACCAAAAAGTGTCAAAATTCAGATTATCAGGTAACTAAAGAGCAACCCAATTCTGTCTTACCTCTGCCTCTAGTTCTAGGGAAGGAGTCAGCTAATAAATTGGTAAGATGAGTGTCATTATCAGTAATAACCAATGTATCATTCAATAAATTCCCGAGCTCAAGTCAGCCTCCATTCTTCTTCTTCCTCCTGGAATAGACTTGTCATTCCTCATCCAACAGTTGCTTGGTCTAAAGTGTGTCGAACATGTGTAGGTTGTTGAACATTAGAAGCAACTACTTGTTGTACCAACTGATTTTTTATCGGTCAGGAGAGCAGGAGCGCTATCGTGTGCTCTGACATGTAAGTGGGCTTTCTTCAATAACAGTGAGTGATATAAACACATTTAGATCTGTACCTGTAGTATGATGTTCTTCATCAGGAATTGCGGTGTTGGCAAGGGGGGATCCACAGGATCCACAGGCAAATCGGGATCCACAGGCAAATCAGCACTAAATCCTGTCTTGTGGGAACTTTCTCCACAGATTGAGCAGGTATGTCCATAGCAATAGGGTTAGACCCCTCTTTATTTGCTTGAGCTTTAGCTTTCAAGTTTGGATGGAGCCTGTGACATTTACCAAGTGTATGCCCAAACATCTTACAGTGGGTACAATAAAAAGATTTATGTTCTATAACAATTAGTTGCCAATATTTATTGTGAGTTGTGCCCAGCCAGACTTCAGTAATATCAGGTAAGATAATATCTCTTTCCACAAGTATTCTGGCCAAGGAAGACCTGGTTAGGTTAAAGGTGGGCATATCTAGCTTCATAGGATCTCCAAGAATGACTCCAATTGAATAAAAAACCTGATGATTAAAGAAATGTAACTTGAGACAAAGTAAACTAATTCATATCGGATTTGGGTCAAAATCAAGAGACCACTTGAGTAATTTTAGGGCTTGTGAAGTATGAAATGTCTCCCCTGCCCCCACGAATAGAGGTTCCATAGGAGGAATCGGGGGACCTACATCATGAGCATTGTTTGGAGGCTAAATGGTTCACATATTACCCTCAAGGATAGTGACATCTTAAGAAGTATCCTTCTGATGATCAATAACATCAATAACTTGGAGCAAATCAGGAGGAGGATTCTCTGCCTCTGGCTGAGCACTTTGCTTCTTTGATCTTAGATGGGGATGTAGATGGTGACATTGAGAATTAGAGTGGTCGAACATACAACAATTCGAGCAATACGAAGGGAAAGGCTCAATCACAACCCTTTGCCAATATCCTTGGTATTGTGAGCCTAACCAAATTTTCTCTGAAGCGATTGAAGTGATGTCCCTTTCAACAAGTACCCTGGCTTCAGAGGAACGGGAAAAATTAAAAATAGGAATGTTCGTTTTGAGTGGCTTACTATAGGCTAAAGAAATAGAGAACAACACTTCTTGAGTAAAATAATAAAATTTTATGCCATGGAAACGAATCCAGACTGGAATGATTGGTGGTTCCGTCTGTTGGTCAAAATCCACCGACTATTTCAAAATCTTCATTGATCTGTTATCAATTCATATTAATCTTCTAGCAAATAAACGTGTATAATCATCTTCATTATTAAGTTGAATCAGAATTTGTCTTCCATCTAAAAGTCCAATTTTTTATTCCCCAACAAAGTGCATAAGCTCAAAGCTTCATTTTGGGATGACCATAAATGAATTTCCCAACCAAATTCAGACGATAGGAGGAAACAAACTGATTACATTCTGCTTCCGTAAAAATTGGACTCCGCCAACGCAAAGGAAGGAAGTAGCACGATTTAGGAGTATCTGAGGCATGGACACCCGCAAGGGCAGCAGCATACGTTTTGTCTAAAGCCATCACCAATTGAAAGAGGCGCGGCGTTAGGAAAAGTGAAGTTACGGTGAAAGAAAGAGCAAACGCCGAAGGAGGATCGGCGGAAACCCCTTCGAAGTCGAGCAGAGGACGAAAGGTGCAAACGTCCTTCAACGAGCAGCCGAAACAAAAAGGTACGAAACTTTCTGCTTCGAGCACGAGGAAGGACGAGACGACTCTGCGCCCAAAATCGTCCTTCAAACGACGACGAAGAACGACATGGCGAGGCAGACGCATCATGACAAAGCACTACAAAACAGACGAGCAGGACGACGAAAGACGAAATAGAGAAAGTCAAGGCGCGAAACCTTCGAGCGTGACGATGCAAGAAATCATCGTAACAGACGCTAAAATTCGCCATGAGGCGAAACCCTAGCAGAGCCTCCCGCTCCTGCTATCATCATAAGCAGATCAGGAGAAGGAATCTTTGTTATATAAATATATATATATATATATATATATATATA